ATTTGGTTGCGGGGTTTTTTTTTGTTAATGGCGCCTAAGAAGCAGACGGATGTGTCTGGTGGCGTGGGAGCAGGGGATGTTCGATTGAGGGTTGCTATAGTGAGTGGGGATCGTTGTAAGCCTAAGAAGTGTCGTCAAGAGTGTAAGAAGTTTTGTCCGGTTGTTCGTACGGGTAAGCAATGTGTAGTGGTGGAGCCTACGTCTAAGATTGCTTTTATATCGGAGCCTTTATGTATTGGATGTGGGATATGTGTGAAGAAGTGTCCGTTTGATGCGATTCAGATTATCAATTTACCTAAGGATTTAGGTCGTGATATATCTCATCGATTTGGTGTTAATTCATTCAAATTACATCGATTACCAACACCACGATTAGGTCAGGTTTTGGGACTGATTGGAACGAATGGTATTGGGAAGAGCACAGCGTTAGCAATTCTTAGTGGTCGTGTTAAGCCTAATCTGGGTAATTTCTCAGATCCACCTGATTGGAAGACAATATTAAAGTTCTATCGTGGTTCTGAATTGCAGAATTACTTTACAAAGGTACTAGAAGGAGATTTACGACCTGCGGTTAAACCACAATATGTAGATGCCCTTGCCCGGAAGTCAAAGAAAACAGTTCAACAGATTGTGGACCCTACAGGAAATGGTATACATGGACTGGCAGAGAAGCTAGCTGAACGACTTCAATTAAGTCATTTAATGGAACGGAATGTCAGTGATTTAAGTGGTGGTGAATTACAACGTTTTGCTTTATTAGTAGCCAGTATTCAAGATGCAAATGTGATAATGTTCGATGAACCAAGTTCATATCTTGATATTAAACAACGTATTATTGCGGCACAAGTAATTCGTAGTTTACTTAAAGATGATAATTATGTAATTGTGGTAGAACATGATTTAGCTGTTAGTGATTACTTATCAGATACTGTATGCTGTCTATGGGGATGTCCATCAGCATATGGTGTAGTTACAACACCATTTAGTGTTAAGGAAGGCATCAATATTTATTTAGAAGGTTTTATACCAACTGAAAATTTACGTTTTCGTGATGAATCAATTAGCTTCCGTATCACTCAAGATCTTGAAGATGAAACAAAACGTGAAGCATGGCATGAATATCCACGATTAAGTAAACAATTAGGCAGCTTTAAACTCACCATAGAACCTGGTGCGTTTGCTGACTCAGAAATCACCGTTCTACTTGGTCAAAATGGTACAGGTAAAACTACTTTCATTCGTATCCTTGCTGGCTTATTAGCAGCTGATGGTGCTGAAAAATTACCCAAATTAATTGTATCATATAAACCACAAACTATCTCAGCTAAGTTCGATGGTACTGTAGAACAATTACTCAACTCTAAAATTCGTGATGCTTATCATCATCCACAATTCATTACTGATGTTATTAAGCCTATGCAAATCGAGAAACTAAAAAACCTTCAAGTACTAACTCTTTCTGGTGGAGAATTACAACGAGTAGCTCTAGTTCTAGCTCTTGGTAAACCAGCTGATGTATATCTACTTGATGAACCCTCCGCATATCTAGATTGTGAACAACGTATCGAAGCAGCACGTGTCATCAAACGCTTCATACTACACGCTAAGAAAAGCGCCTTCATTGTCGAACACGATTTCATCATGGCAACATACCTCGCCGATAAAGTTATCGTATACGAAGGAGCACCCGGAGTAGACTGCACCGCTAGATCTCCCCAATCTCTCATCTCCGGCATGAACATCTTCCTTGCCATGCTAGAAACCACCTTCCGAAGAGACCCCATCAACTATCGACCACGCATCAATAAACTTGACAGCGTCAAAGATCGAGAACAAAAACTCGCCGGGAACTACTTCGTCGTAGACGACAGCTAGACCCTGACTTCCTGAAGTCAATCATCCCGAGCACACCCGTGTGTGACCAACACACACCCGTGTGTGACCAACACACACCCATGTCTGACCAACACACACCCATGTCTGACCAACACACACTTGTGTGTGACCAACACACACCCATGTCTGACCAACACACACTTGTGTGTGACCAACACACACTTGTGTGTGACCAACACAATAAGTTCATGATCTCAGCACGGTGCGCACCCCGTTTTATTATCTCATTGCCAACCAATAAATGCAGCCGTTCTCTCGGACCTAGTTTTCCCCTGCCAGTTTTCAACTGCGACTCATCGGTCATCTGAGTTCACCGAGCCAGCCGTCTCTGAGGTGGTGTCTGAGCCAAAGTTGACGTGGAGCTGGGATGCCACTGTGGTGGGTGTGTCCGCATCCATTGGGGCATTAAGGTGAGCTTTCAGCTTTTCATGATGAGTTATAGTTTGGAAGTTCGTGTCTGTTGGAGTTGGAGCTGGGATGTTAGGGGTATTTTCGAGATTCGAACCGCCGTCTGGGGGGTCGAAGTAGTTGGCGAATATTTTGCGAGTGTTGGGTGAGTGGCTGGCGACCTTATCGACCCATTGGTCGCCGGTATAGGGTTCTGGCGGCAGGAGTTGAACCTGGGCTCTGGGTATTTCTGGTGGTGCTTCATCTTTCCATGGGACCGGGATCTCTTTAACAAATTCGAACTGGTCGAGACAGGAGTCCAGACATTTACTTAAACAGCAGCCAAACAAAATCGTCGGTATCCGGAACGGCTTGGCGTCGCCCCAGGTTCGCTTCTGGACCGAGTGGAACGCCTTAAGGAAAGTAAAGGCCGCCGCCGAATCATAGAAGCCATACAAGAGCCAACGACTGCCATCGAATATTTCCACCTCCACCTCCACCTCCATATTTGATCCTCGGCCAACGTCGTGACTATGCACTCGATCCACAGCATTCCACTTGCACAGCACACTACCGGACGGATGGACAAAAAACAAGTAATTCAACGTCACCACCAGCTGACCACGGTGAGTGGCACGATTAGCCGACAGATTGCACTCATATACCATTACGGCCTCCTCATTTCGCACTAGAAGAAGACATACATGAACCACAGAAAAATTACCTCGATAGGAAGTGGCAGTGGGAGCTATCGGCTTCTCTGCCCTGAATATACGTGGCAGGATGAGGTCTAAGTAAGGACTTTGTAGTTTGTTGACTAAAAAGGTGAATTGCATAAATATATAATTCGGGTACCTAACTGAGTCGCCTAACTATGGCCGGCCGTCGCGGTTAGGTTGGTCTAGGCTGGTCCGGTCGTGGCTGGTCCAGTCGTGACTGGCCCAGCCGTGGCTGGCTGGGGTGTCACTCGTGACCAGCCGTGGTGGCTGGCGCTTAGCTCTTCTTGATTTTGCGTCGTTGAAATTCTTCGATGTAGGAGGCGATGCGTTTGATAATTACCACCTCGGCCGCCCACATTCGGAATAGGGTGTGTAGTCTTTCGGTGCGAATTTTGGAGCACTTGTGACTGCAGAAATGCGTGGCTGTGGCGGAGTCGATAGCGTCAAGTCGCCGGTTCAATTCCCGCCTCCAGTCGGCGACGTCGATGGTTTTGATGTTGAGAATTCCCACCTCGACGCCAATCCATATTTTTTCAAAGAGGTCGACTAGACCCAACAAACTTGAACAGTCCGGGCCCTCAGAAGTCATCGTCGTGTGCTCCTGAACAGTCACGCTCTCCGGGATCCTTTGCTCAATAGTTGCGCCCTCCAAAGTTCTTGGCGGAACCGCCGCCAAGGCCTGCATACTTCCGCCGCCCACCAATAAAGCCTCCTCCTCCAAGCGACCGTTAGGCACACTTTGGCGGCAGTGAGGACAGGTGTTCGGTACGGGCACCGGAATGACCTTCTTGACCACCATGATCTCGCGGTCAGACAAAGTGCTCATGTACCGCTTCGGGCTGTGGCAAGGTACAATGGTCTGCCGCATCGGCGACCGACTAGCAGCTGGAGACGGAGCTGGCCTCACATCTTCCAGCCACACGGACGACGATGACAAATCAGATCGCGGTTCCGACCACTCTCCTGCGGCCTGTTCCGCACGCTGGCTCATTACTCGGTGGGCGTCGACTTGTCGATGGCTGAAACGTCCTGCATGGTCCTTGTCCTCGTCCTCGTCGTCGTCCTCGTCGTGTCGGTGACCGGCGTGATGGTCCGGTCTTGGAATGGTGAAGGAGGGTTCATCTCCCAAGTCGCTGATGTCTAATTCGGAGCTACTATCAGGAGCGGGTAACCCGTGAACTCCAGTGGTTTCCCGGATACCTGTGGGTTCAGCAGCCGGGTCCAGCAGTCGGTCTTCGTCCATTTCTCCGTCTGTGCTTACTGCGTCTCTATGGTCGATCAAACCTTTCGTCCACTTAACGAAGGTCTTGTCTTTCTCCCATAGCTGCGATTGCGTATTCACTAAGTAAGCGAGATGGCGATGACCAGCGGTCCGTAGCAACCCCACTTGTCGCAGCGCGCTTGCGATCTTCTTTAAAATTCTATCGTTCTGCAGGATAGGTAGATTATCGCACATATTCCCATCTTCAATCATCTTATTCCAGTGTGTCATTTCAAAATCGAACAGATTGATTTGTTCACGAAATACCTTCTCCCATGCCTTGTACGTCTCCGACTGGTCGTCACCTGACTGCTGATCGGCGCCTGACTGCTGGTCGTCACGTGACTGGTCGTCACCTGACTGGTGGTCCTCAGTCTCCGTTGCTGCGTTGACCGTCGTTGTCGCCGTGTGGGTGGTTTGGGGAGGGAGGAACCGAGCGTCTTGTGATGTTGGGGCGGCGTAGAGTTCTGTGAGTGCTCGGAGGCTTCGTCGTATACCAACGGTGGAGTTTGATAAGCGTATTCGTTGTTGGGCATTTACACTGGTTGGGAAGAGTAGGAGAGAGAGTATGAAGGCGACTAGAGTGCCCCATACATGGCCCATGATACGTTCCACTACTAGTTCGTCTCTGCTTTGCATCGGGTCGAAGAAGACACCGAAGCAGACGACGAGAAAGTGATAGGTAAGGATTTGTCCGGCATAACCCCAGTGTGGGTCGTAGCCGAGTCGTGGGTCTAGAGGGTTGCTGAATAGCAGCGTGGGCACGAACATATGAACACACGCCCACACTCCGACTCCCCAAATGCTATGTGGGAAAGCTTTAAGAGCACACCAAGCGGAGAAAGTTCCTACGAGCATGGCTGTAAAACGGAGACAACCTCTCTTAAGTGTGCCTTGATAGGAAATCAGCAAGCTGCAGTAAAAACCCAACATCGTCCATCCGCTCTGTTTACTGTACTTCACAGTTGGCACATCCATCCACACAAGATAGTCGATGATCTTAATGTTATCTTCCTGACCCGCACCGTTATTGGTATGTGGAAAGAGTGAAGGAATGTCCGGCAAGGCTAATGAGTCTCCCAAAGTTGACTTTTGAGTCTTATGAGCACGACCTGATTCTAACCACCACCACTTGGCCAAATCCCAGTCGAAGATATACACGCTCAGAATCACCATCTGTCCTAGGAAATGTCTCAAGCCACCCCAAGCTTCCGCATTCTGCCATAACGGAATTACGCGTTCACGACTCCTCCATACGTAACCGCCCGCCCGACATACTTCCGCGGCGGCAGCTGAGTCTGCGGCGGCGGTGACTGAGTCTTCGCTTCTAGTAAACTTTTGCTCTTGGCTGACTAACCCCGTAACCATACCGAGGTCCGCCATACACGGAGCGTCGCCTAAGTGAACTTCAACTTGGTGAGGGGCCTCACGACAAGCCGAAGTCCCGGGAAGGAGTGATTCCGGATACTTGAGAGGTCTCCTCTTGAAAATGAAAATTGAAACAAGGGTGGAAACCCACTGCTGGCACAACGCGACTGGGACTAAAAGCAAACCTCCTAATGTCGGAACCAGCAGCCCGATAAGGAAGGCACGGTATGACCGCTTCAACTCGCCTTCGCAAAAGGTGATGCCCACTTTGGCTTTAGCGATCGAGTGGAACACCACCGTTTTACGGTACTGTTCGAGGAGTGTTTGATATTCAAAGCTTGTGGTGCGTGAAAGGGATGAGCTGACGAAAGCTCGATCGAGCGCCACCAGATGCTGCAGGTCGAGTTGCAGCTGGTGTCGTACTTCAGCCACAATTTCGGCAATGACCTTGTTCCTTCCCATAATCTCGTCCAAAGTAAGTAGTCTCTCAACTGCCTTGTTCAAACTCATGTGTGCCCAAAAGGCTTCACGCATCCACCCCAGGGTGATCGGGTCTAGCGCCGAAGTGACGTCGAACATACGGCCGTTGTGCACCCCTACGATTTGGGTACCTACGTCATGATACCAGGTACTATATGCGTTGTTATAATTAGCGCCATTGGCAGTAGCGCCATTGGCAGTAGCGCCATTAGCAGTAGCACTAACGTTGCCAGCACCAGCACTAGCGCGAGTTGTAGCGCCAGAGCCAGGAGCAGCATTAGGGCCAGTGAGGTTTGACCAGTAGCGTGCGAGGAGAGCGACTTGTGTAGCTTCTTCGGCGAGGCAGCTTTGTAGAGCTTTAATGTGTGAGTAGCTCATGATGCCGGGTGCTTGAGTGAAAGCGGTTTCGAGTAATGCGCTTTGAACGAATGTGTCGAGGTCAAGGACACGTTGGTGCAATTGGTCGACATCCCATGAAGGTTCGGAGCCAGCGGCGAGTTTGGAAACACGTGTGGGAGGGAAGGCAACTAGATCCACCCGTTCCCGAACGATGTCGGTTCGTGAGAGGAGTTTAGCGCGTTCGCAGAGGTGTGTTTTATGTGTGTACAATTTTCGCTGAACGCGAATGAGTCCTTGCTTAGCGGCATATCGACTGCGCGAGGCGGGGTTCATGAGATACATGGCGGTGAGTACTGCCATAGCGAGTGAGGAGCCTAGTAGTAGTCCGCGAAATAACCCAAGTCCGCCCTGGGCGGTCCATAGTTGGTGCAAAAAGCCGAACTGTGGGCGGTACTTGAAATTGACATATTGATCATCGGTGGACACACGGAAGTGTGTGACGGATGAGCCTGCGAATAAGCCGCCCATATCGTCTAGAAGGTGTAGGACGGGTATTTCGCACTGTTGGTTGGGTACAAAGGTTGCTTGTGTGTCTCCGTTCATCTCGACAGTAGTGAACAGTTTGTCACAATCGGGGTGTACCACTTGTGCAATTAACCCTTTAATTAGATCTGGTAGTGGTAACGTCTCTAAGCCAGCCAGGAGTGATCGTATGAAAGCAATCATATTACCGTCGGCAGAGATGGCGATACCACGGACTAGAGTATGGTATAGTGGTAGTAACACATTATCGTAGGGGTAGTTGAGACTAATCACGGCGGCATACACGAGACGGGCATTTGCACTTACACGTCCTTGACTCAAAAATAGTGCCAAAGCTGCATACGTACCCACGGCAAACAAACCTGTCTGAGTCTTAGAATACCCATGATCAGCCATATGGATTACCACACGCATCATACCTGTTACGTAACCCAACAAGCCCAACACTAACGGAGTGTTCACAAACCAACCAAAGACCAAAGACGAAACAAACGGAGGATACAATGCCACAAATAAAGCAAAGATAATCGGGCACAAATAAGGCTCCGCTAAATCTCGTGGATTCGCATAAGCAAACCAAATCAAGAATGGCATCGGAAATGTACATCTTATAGCACGACCCAATGCACCATTATACAACCTATTATGCAAAGGCCAAGAAGGTAAACAAACATCAGCACGATCATACTCACCCATCTAATCACTCTCGTCGTATTCACGTATAATTCTCTCTCTTTTGGTCGGCTGACACGGTCTTGTATGGGAGCAAAATTGACAGCAAAAATTGAAACATCAAAAACACGTCCAAAAACCACACTTGAGAGTTTACAACAAACACCCCCAACCCCGTGACATACACATGATGTGTCATGTGTATGTCACATCATGTGTATGTCACGGGGTTGGGGGCGCTCGGGCTCAGTGACGTACGCTCGGGCTCAGTGACGTACGCTCGGGCTCAGTGGCCTGCCATTTAAGGTTCATTATTTTTAATGAGTTCGAATAACTCCACCTTGACTGATTTTAATAAAGCACTGAAGGATGTGTACGAGAGATTAAATCCTGGCGATGAACGGTAAGATATTGTCTGTCTGTGTGTGTCTGTGTGTGCGCTTAACTTTGACACATGTAGTTGTGCATCCTTCTTGGAGTCATTTCGGAAGATGATGGAGCGTGAAATAGAGGAGAAGAACCTCGAAACCTTGGATGGGCTCGTGGGTGCTATAAATAGTTTTTTATCTAATTAACTTAGTGCTGGCGTTGAGATAACACAAAGAACTTACGTGGAAGGAAAGAGTCAGTCACAGTCGTGGGAGTCGTTGATGAAATGGATGATGGGACAGTGTGTCAAGAGGACAAAGTATATCGGCCTGAAAAATTGAACATGGATGATAGGGAATGCCGCCTTTTGGATGCTGAATTGAATAAAGAGGGAGGATACAATATGGACAAAGTACGAGAGATTGCCAGTACGGGATTACCGCTGTCCATAACGTGGCTGCAAAGAGCGAAGATCTGGAAACTGCTTGTTGGAATTACGACTCCGAACACAAATGATGCTACATTAGAAAAGATGAGAAGCAAGTACCGAACCCTAGCTGCAGTAGGCGCTCACATATGGGGCTTGCACCACGGACCGTACACACGAGGCATACACACCGATGTCTGTCGACGCACAGTCCTGTCGACGCACAGTCCTGTCGACGCACAGTCCTGTAACAAATTCCTGTGTGCAAACGTGTTGGCAAACGTGTTGGCAAACGTGTTGGCAAACGTGTTGGCAAACGTGTTGGCAAACGTGTTGGCAAACGTGTTGGCAAACATGTGTGCAATCGTGTGTGCAAACGTGTGTGCAAACAAAGGTATGTTTTAGAATAAGTTTAATGGATCTGTGGAATTTTCTTCGTCGGACGCACCCTTGACTCCGACCACTCCATCGAGTCCCGACATGCCGTTGTCTCCGCTTCACTACCGTAAGTCGGAAGAGGGGACGGGGGTAATCGAGCAGCGGTTCGATCTGAGTCAGCTGCGGCAGATAAGGCTTGACTTGGTTCGGACCAGGCCTGACCGGTTTAGTCGGTTCTTTGGTGGGCGGAAGGCTCAATTTGTACTTACACGTCTGCTGTATGTCTGGGGTGTAACGAACCCAGCCTGTGGTTATGTACAAGGAATCAATGACATTGCAGTGCCATTTTTCATTGTGTATGCGCTGGGCGAATTGCAAAAACGGACTGGAGACCATCTCAGTACGAACTTTGACCATATCAATGAAATTCTAGTCGATGATGATTACCTTACTGCTGAATGTGACACATTCCTGACGCTACAAATCATTCTAAACGAAGTTCAAGACAACTACATTGCCGGTAGACCAGGAGTTAATGAATATATACGTACACTTAACAAAATGCTAAGCAGAGTTCATCGTAGGAACACACACACATCACACATACACACATGAGTGTGCACACACACATATGAGTGTACACAGTCGGGTGTGGTTGTAGCAGCGCTGCATGGACACTTGAAGGAGATTGGAGTGGCAGAAGAACAGTTTGCTCTCCGATGGGTCAACTGTATATTCGCCAGAGAATTTTCCAGTTTAACCCTAATCCGACTTTGGGATGGAATTTTATCAGAAGAGATCCGTAATCTGAAGTCGACATTGATATATATTTCTGTAACATTACTAATGAAGTTCGGCGATCGAATTCTGCAATACGATTTTGAAAAATCAATGCTGCTTCTACAACGACTGCCAACTTTAGAATGGACACCAGAGGAGATACCCACCCTTCTAGCAGAGGCTTACGTGTGGCGTTGTCTTTTCGCTGAGTCTCCACAACATCTGCGGTAGTAACCAGTGATCAGTCGTTTGGTGACCAGTCGTTTGGTGTCAGTGTCTCTTCTTTCGTTTGAAGTTGGTGGATCGCTTATGTCTTTTGAAGACGCCGCCAGTGAGGAGGTTTGTTAGAGTTTCGTTGCATCCAAGACATCCAACCACCATCTCTTCGACGGCGGCTAGAGAGGCACCTTCTTCTTGAGTGTTGGAGGAGGCGCGGGTGGCATTGAGGGCACCTAGGTGTTGCGGTTGAAGCTGGGCCTCGACGATGTACCAACCACACTGACCGGGGCATAGTTTTTGGGGTAGTACCTTCCGGACGCTTTTGACCTTGTAGTGGTCGAATGGTAACAGAAACCGGCAGCCGGTACAGGCAAGCGATAAATGGCAACCGTTAAAGTTCTGTAGATATATCCAGCCTCTACCGCTACAGTCGCTACTGTCACACAGACCAAGCCCATGGCGGTACAAACTACCATACATGGTTTTGCTGGCGCTGTCCAGACATGTGTACCGCACGGCTCCTGGGGCGGAAGCGGAAGCGGAAGCGGCGGTCGGTGGGTAGTTGTAGCAGAAGGGACAGAAGCAATAGGCTCGGTTGTTCTTTTCGATGGCTACGAGGATTTCGAAGTCGTCATGGATGCACTTGGCGGTTTCGGCCACTGTGCGCAATTTACAGCGCAAAGGCACAGACAGGGCGAATGCACAGTGTAGACAAATGAGTTTGCGCTGGTTCAAGAGCACCATGTACCGTCTGCAACGACCGCACCGAGAGAGAGGTGCCGCTCGACCATCGCCGCTATGTGCCTCGACGCTGAGGTTGAGCACTTCATCGAGTACCTTCACTCGTCGCAAAAAGTGCTGAAATTTCACTTTAAACTCGCTAAGGACGTGCTGGACCACGCGACCACGGTCCATATTGCCTTTGGCCACTTGGTCACAAGAACGCTCTATGATGGCTCGCACAGTGGGTCGTGTGAGCTCGGAGTCAATGCGAGTGAAACCACGACACAGGTTCAAACCAAGTTTTGTGGGCTCCATAAAACGGCCGGGCATCTTGAGGTGAACATAGCCACGAGAGACGATACTCTGTATGTGCTGTGTTACACTTGCGTCCGTCCCGATGGAATTCTTTTCCATCAGTGTTAACAGGTCTGACTCTGAGAGTAGGCTGGGTGGACGAGTGAGGTCAGAGTTGAGGGCGATCTTATCAACAGCAATACGATCCCCCACATTCAACATGTCCCAGACGCCACTGCTGCCAGTTGTGTCGGAGGCTGCGGTGCCGCCAAATACCTTGTAGGCAAGGTGCCCGAGTTTGGTGAGTTTAGTCAATTTGGTCTTGAACACTTGGTCCCCGAGGAGCACGAGTTCCAGCACGTGGTCTGTGTAAACGGCATCTTCGGAGCAAATACTTTGCAGAAATTGCGACGCAATGAGCGTGTACAACCGTTCGTGGTCATCGGACATAAATGATCCAGCAGCAGCACACGGCGTGATGGGCGGATGATCCCCCATGTCCACGCCAGCGTTGTTGGGACTCACGGTGTTAGAGTTGAACAGGTTTTGGGCCAGGCTCGCAACGCAGGAGCTTCGGCCCGTTAGCAGGCCAACGACCTGCTTCACATCAAACGCGGGCGCGAACTTGGTGCTTTCCGTTCGCGGGTAAGTTATATAGCCGGAGAGGTACAGGTTCTCGGCAACCATCATGGCGCGCTGAGGTGACATACCGAGTGTCGTGCTCGCGGCCTTCAGCATGTTCATTGTGTTGAATGGCAACGGCCTCTTCAACTTGCGCGTGCTTGTGGCCTTCTTCGCTACCGTGGCCGTGCTTCCGGCTTCGCGAAATAATTCATGCAAAACTCGCGCGGTCTGCTCATCGTAGACCCGCCCACCTTGCCACTGAGCACGTGTGCTGTTGTCGAAAATGGACAATTCCAATGTCCAGAATCGTTGAGAAACAAAAGACTCAATCTCCTCCAATCGGTTCACGCAGAACCAAAGTGTAGGCATCTGACAGGGTCCATAGCTCACCGTGGAACCATGAAAATCTTTGAGATACCGTGTCAGGAACCTGGTAAAACTGACTCCAATCTTCAAGTCCAATTCTTGACGTGCATCTACTGAATCTGACTCGCATTTGTTCGGAGATCGTAACGCTGTTTTAAAAGCCTGCCGAAGGTCGCTCGCAACCAATGAGCTGAACTTCACCCTTCGTGCACTCTTCGCAGCCGCGGCATTCACCTTACCTACAATCCCAATCACTTCGTAACAAATATTCTCGCCTTCACGGTCACAGTCCAACCACAGCACCAACCGGTCCACCTCGCGTCCCTCCTTCTGCAACATTGCCACAACCCCCGAGCTCTCCACCTTCTTTTTCACAGGAGCGTCAAACAAGGTAGTCTCGTCAATCCGATTCCGGTCATTGTACTCCGATGAGAAATCCAACGAGAAAATGTGACCGGTCGTACTCGTCACTCGAATCTCCGCCTCTCGACCCTCATACTCACCCTTCAATTGCCATAATGGTAACGATCCGCGACTCTGCTTACTACACCCTGGACTCAAAGCCTTCGCTATCGCCTCCGCCACCGACGGCTTCTCCGCCACCATCAACACCCTCGACAACCCCATATACCTGCCAACAAAAAATATAAACCCCTGAATACTACTTGTAGCACCAACTTTCTAGCGGGCGTGCCGTGGGGGGCAGACTTGCAATGGGTAGCAGCAGCAGCAGCAATGGACGTCAGTCAGTTCAAGGGAAACAAACTAATTCGTGCGGACGTTGAGCCATTGACTCAGGCAGTTTTCGATGTCGATTAGCGAGGCTCCAAGACGCTCGTAACTAGCCACATAGCTCCGGATGATGTCTTGGGTGCAATCCATCGGATTCAGTGTACCGTCCGCAATCGCGGCGATCGACCGTTCTGTGTTCGCTCGCAGCTGCGGAGACGTCAACTCGGGACAGGCTCTCGAAATACCCACATACAAAGCCGTCCCCAAAACAGTTGGTCGGAACGACGAGGGCGGCACTCGCTCCACGTACTGCCGCGTCTGAACGGTTCGGATGTGTTCGTGCATCGTTGCGTCTGTTCCGATTTGGTGCTTGTCCATCAAACTTATTAACTCCGTTTCGGTCAGTAAATTCGGGGCAGTAGTCCTTCCCTGGTTCAACTCCAAACCAGACGCAGGAATAGATTCACCCTCTTCGAACACAGCAGGAAAGGAGTCATTACGGCGCTCCCAGTTGTCAAATTCCCGGTACACCTCCAGAAAACACGGATCCGTAACCACTAACCCAGATTTGTGGAATAACTCCTCACCCATGTGGATGTCTACGTCCGTGGTCTCACCTTTGGCGTCCGCTGAACATGCCGCCAAAAAGTGTGTGCACACACTTTTGTAAACTTTCCATTCATCATCATTTAATTCACTTTTACTCAATGCTCGGACGGGATGTATAGGGGGATGGGCTTGGTCATTCCTGCTCCCGGATCTAGGCCACTCGAAGCCGTCATTATGCAGCAATTTGGCTGCAAATTGACCCCATTCGGGGCTGGACATTTGCACTTGTACCAAGGACTTTAAGTCCATCGTTTCATTAAAGATCTCGGTCTCAGTACGGGGATAGCTAATAATGCCTCTATTATACAAAGACTCAGCGATTTGCATGATTTGATGCGATGGCATATGGTAATGACTTGAGCATATTTGAGTCAATGTCAGAGTATCTAGACCGAATATGCAGAAGAGTTTCAAGGAGGTGGTGGTACGACAAGGTGGTGGCAAGGGATAGGGCGGGTGCTAAGTTTCACTCATGGGTTTGGGTTTCCGATGGGTAGTTTCCTTTTTCTGTACCGAGCTCACAACGCAAGATGAAACCAGGCACTTCTGATAGATCATTAGGGCGAGGGTTTTGTCATAGATGCGATCGCCTTGGCAAGAGAAGACCACAGGCTGTTGAGCCTTATTTACGGTGAGAGTTAGATAGTAGTAATCTTCAGGTTGAAATCTTTGGATTGCCAGCCAGCGGGTGACGACGAAGCCGAGGGTGGGTAGTTGACAGGGTCCATAGCTGACGACCTTGGTGGGCATGTCGAATTTCTTGACAAACTTGAGTGTGAGCAATCTGGTGATGGATGTCCCGATTCTGAGGTCCAATTCCCTACGGACTTCCACGGCCTGTGCCTGCTTCTGGTCTGGTGCTGTGAGGGAGTTCAAAGCGCGTTGCACAGCTTGTGCGGTCACCGCACTGAAGTGTGCTCTGAGGCAGTGGAGTCGGCGGTTGCTTTTCAAACAAACCTCCATGACTTCGTGCGCAATGGCTTCTCCCTCTCGGTCGCAATCCAGCCATAGGACCAGGTGGCTGCAGTCCTTGGACAAGGTGCGCAGGTTGCGCTCCAGGGACTTGCTGTCCTTTGGCACCTTACGCTCAATGGGTGCCGAAAACAATGCAGACGGCGGACACCGACGCCACTCCTGGTACTCCTCCTCATAGTCCACTTCCGTCAAATGCCCTCGAACGGAGGTAAATATCATCGTCGCGCCTGCATGCCCCTCGAACTCCACATCGTCAAAAGCAACAACCGGATTGAACTGACTGGCCGAATTAATCTGCAACACCGACCTATCCACCCCACCCGTCAGCGTCTGTGGTAGCCCCACCCGTCGGTGTCTGTGGTGTCTAACGTAGCGTTTGTTGGCAGGCGGGTAAAGTGCCGCTATGCTTTTGGCAACGGATGGCTTTTCGGCCACATTGAGAACTACGGCGGCGGGCATGATATAACTGATTGTGGGTAAAAAAGTTAGTTGTCTTCGTTGACGACTTCGGTGTTGAGTCCCTTGAAGTTAGTGCACTCGACGAGTTCGACGACCGTGTAGAATCGCTCGGTAGCGTCTTCATCTTCGTTACGTTTGCGATTGAAGCGAACACGGATCTTGTTGGGCAAGTGGTTCACACCCTTGGTCCAGACGGCCTCGTTCAATTGCGGGTCAATACGCACATCCTTCGTCAACATCACCTTCTGTGCCTGAGCCTTCAAATTCCGGATAGCCCTCGGCGCATGCTTCTTGGGAGCCGTGCACCGCACACCCCGCATCAGACGCACCGTACAGTCAATCTTCAACGGCTCCAGTTCCTTCACCATTACTCCGCCACACAAATCCCCAAAAAAATTTTCCCACACAGTTTTGTCTCCAACACTCCGAGTCCACACCCTTCAACGTGCAACGAACCAACACCTGTCACTACAGTCGTTGTGATAAATGGTCTTGACGACGACGACCAAAAAAGCTATTCAACAAACTCGCCCAAATTTCCCGAAGAGTTTTTCTTCTCGAAAATGCAGCAAGCTGCGGGGGACGGGATGCTCACCATACGGCTCCTCCTCACCTTCCGACTGAACGAAACTGGGGGTTCGAAAGCAGCAATCCGACTGCCGTTTCTCTTTCAAAGTCGTCAACCTCTTTCAGAGTCGTCAACCTCTTTCGGAGTCTTTCGGACAAAGTGGATTCTGGATAAAGCATTTGCAGCCGGTGGGGCGAATGATCGTAGTCGAAGGGGAGTGGAAAGGGTTTTCAATCCAGAAGAGCCCCGTAATAATTGATTTGAGTTGATGTCCGGAATGAGCTGTGATTTGGGTTGTTGTACAACGGGTTTGACAACTGGTTGGACTGTTTTGATTTGACTCCAGAATTCTGTCTCGCGAGCTGGTCCGTAGTCCGTGAACTCGAAGTACTGGGTTTTGGGGTTTTCGGTGTTCATATTTTCTGTCAAGTCGTGGGGCGGGTGGATCGGGTGATGACCGGCTATGTTGATTGCCAGTTGATGTTTATCTATTCGTTGACGAAGATGGTCTGGTAGATTGTTAATAATTTGTTGTGTGGCATAAACAGTAAACTCTTGTAGCGTTTCCGGACCGGCGCAGTAGTTCATGGTGGATTTGGATGCGAGCTGTATTTTTGTTGGATCTCGGAACCAATCCCAGCAATTTATTTCCTCATTGACTTTAGATTCATCAGATGACTGGCACATAAACTCCTTGAGTCGATTACCCCGGTTATCTTTGCGGCATGCAACTATCACTTCCACCGTCTTCGTTTGATGATGCTCAAATTGCTCATGTGTTCCAAATTGCACATGCATACGTCGAATAACACAATTCTCAATACCAGACAGCTCACCATTACCATCGACAAATAATGCCAACGCCATATGACGACTTCTCCATAACACATCACATGCCCTATTACTTCTCATTTTAAAGGTACCGAGAAGGATAAATAATTCTCCCGTTCCTCAAAAAGGCCGCGAGACCAGATAAAGAAGGTACTGCGGAGGACCTCGCATAAAGAAGGTACTGCGGAGGATCATCCTGAAATGGGAGAATCGCTAGTGCTGTTTCTGAACCAAGTTAGTTCCAGTTTGAACGTCTTTTGCGACATAAAAGACGTCGGGAATATTTGGGACAACGCGCGCGCGCGCGTGTGTTTGCAGCGCATCATTTGGGGAGATGGACGTTTTTTACAAGGGTTAAAACCAGCAATCCAGTAAATGCTACCAACCCAAAGAGATCTATCCTCCTTCCTAAAAAACCTCTCCCAGAATTTTTCCCGATTAAATTTTTCCCGATTGAGTTTTTCCTCATCAATTCGCAAGAGGTGGTAAGGTACGTCATTGTAATGATCTCCGAAGGTTACTTCACCAGCCAATTGATGTTGTTGTTCTTGTGTAATCGATTCTTCATATATCTTAACACGATGAGCAAAAGATCCCGCCATTGTAATAATTAATTTATGATATGATTGCACGGCCTCACTCAGCGTCATGCATGGTCTTTTCCAACTCGGTATGAATTGCGGCCGATGAAGATGTTGGGCACAGAAATGAAGCAATCTGGGTAGCTGAATTTGGTTATTCAATTCGGACCCGGTCGCAAGCTGGACTGCCGTCGCCTCCGCCACTAACTCCGTTAATCTTGTGGGACTCTTTTTGTCCGGGTCAATCGCATACACAATCATCAGTTAAAAAACTCACTGTTACGTTGCTGTTCTTCCAACTCACCACTCATAGGCTTAAACCAGACTTTCACCGCACTGATACGGTCTCCACTTTTATACCTCTCTTCCATAGAATTTGGTTGACCTTCAGCATCAACCAATCCAGCAACCAAACCCATAAATCCAGCACGACTACTGATTCCAGCATAAGGACCTCTCATCCCGCCGGTATTTTTTACCCACCCAACGCCGGCTATCGGACAAGCCTGAACTTGAAGGTTTGAACCGAAAGGTTTGAACTGAAAGGTTTGAACCGAAAGGTTTGAACTGATAGGAGCCTTATTACCTGAGGAGCAATTGTTACATTTCAACCAAACGAAAACTGAGACTCGGGCTACATGTCACCCCCCCTTCCCTTTTCCCCCCCCCCCCCCCCCCC